GCAGCTTTGGGCTCGGGGTGGGCACAGCCCATCTGCTCTCYTTGGCCCCAAACCCACCAGCACAGGAGCTGTTCTTCAGCAGAGAAAAAACAGCCAAAATTGAGGAGGTGGCCAGGAGAATCTGCCTTTTTTTTTTTTAAGGAGCCATGGGGAAAATATTGCAATTCCTGTCAGGAATGGCAGAACCCTCCCTGGTGACTGCTGCTCCCCAGTGCTACCAACACATCCAAGAACCTGGCTCTAAATATTTTATATCTTCTGATTTGGGCACATTGCAGTGCCTGAGTGCAGAATTTCCTCCRAGAAGAGCAATTTGGAACAGATTGTTTATGTGTCAGTAAGCAGCTGAAATTTCATACACGTAACAGACTGTCCAAAATTTGCAATTTTGACAACTGAGAGAGGCTTTTAAACACACCAGTTAGCCCAGCTTCACTGTGAACCTGGATATTTATGGAATTTACAATGTTCCTTCATAGTTATAGGGATCACAGTGTCTTTTAAAAGCACATTTTTGATAGTAAGAGCTATCACAGTAAATAGTAAGAGTCTAGGTACAGAACAGCACAATTAAAACAAATTTGTGATATTCTCTAGTTTCATAATTCTCTAGTTTTGGGGGAAAAAAAGTTTAAGTAACAGACAGCTCAGGACTAAAAAAAAAAAACACATGCAAAACAACCACATGGGAACAACCACCTTATTGAAGGACCAAAAAAAGACCAAAAAAACTTCCAAGTCATTTTCTGGAGCAAATACTACACAGATAAATAACCCAGACATTGCATGATCTCACTAAAATGTGTCATTCTAAATTTCATGCCATTTCCCACAATATTAGGGTCTTGCTGAAGAGAACAGCCAAAAAAAAAAACAAAAAAAAAACCAAAAAAAAAAACAAAACAAAAAAAAAACACACTTTCTTTTCCATTTAGTAATAACCCTACTGGGTTTATCACACAAATCATAGGGAAATTCTCATATTTTCTTATCACCTACTAAATTTTCCTACCACCTCTTAAACAGAAGTCGACTTTTTTTTTTTTTAATATATCCAACCTGCAACACACGAGAGCTCTTATTTAAGAAGGGTTTCACGCACAAATATTTTTTCCTGATTTGTATAAATGGCCTGACTACTTCAAAAAACCCTTTCCAACAGATCATTCCGAGGGTAATTAGGTTTCCACATGGCAAAAACTGACTTTTGTTGACACAGTGTAGCATAACCACAGTGGCTTTGAAACAGCAGTGGCTGCAATTACTGCTATCAAATATCATGAAAACAATTCCCCAGTCACACTCCTTTTACAATCTTTGTCTTGTTGACGTGCACGCATGTGGTTTCATACAGGATGTGAAAGTGAGAGTGAAACGTGTGATGCAATCCTGGAAAAATGCTGTCAGGTTKGCTTCTAAATCCAAAAGGGACTCTCTTACATCCATGCTCTGAAATCACATGGAAAATTATTTTTTTTTTGAGTGCTTTTTCAAAACAAGAGCTCACATGCTGAAATCCCCATTTATTTATGGCAGACTTAGGCCTGAGCAGTGTTTTGAAGGCTGTTCATGGTGTTTCCCCCTTTGAAAAGATGATTTCAGAAGTTTTTTGAACTGCCACTTATGCCTGAACAAAAAGAAAAAGATGAGCAAATTTGTCTGCTAAGAAAGAGGGTTACAGCTAGCTGGGTTCTCACAGGAAAAATCAGGAAAAATTCACTTTTATCTCCTGCTGACCTACATTAACCAAGAAGAGGATGGAAATTAAGCTCTGCAGTGTCTTGCTTGGCAAAATTTAGTGTTACATGAGCATAAATTCATACTGAAATGTGATTATATCAGCAAGACAGAACACGTATCTATTTCAAAACTTTCTACAATTTGCCTTTTAACTTAGCCCTGTGGCCAGCTGCAATCCTTTTCCTTCTTCAATTCTGCCCTCATTTTGCCCAGGTATTCTTAAAAAACTGGACCAATGGTCAAAAGAATGTTCTAARTGCACATGAAAAATAGATTGAAGGAATTTTGAATATGGAAATGCATACATAGAATTTAAAATCAAGCATTTCCCACTGAAAAAAAAAAGATCTAAGGAAAATAATATAATCCCCTCCTAAAGCTGTGAAATAAAAGTTAAACTCCACAGGGAAATTTAAAATACAAAAACTCAACAGGGAAGTTTTGAAGGTTTAGGAGACACCAAAAAAAAAAAAAAAAATTTGCCAAATTTTTCCATAGACATGGAACTAAGAACAACTTCCAGATTAATAAAAAACAACACTGCACTTACAAGAAAGAAAGCAATTCACTTAACAAGTAGCAAAACATCACTCTTTGGTGAAATACAGAATTTATATTGTCTCATCAAGTCCTGTAGAGAGATGTCATTTCAATGGAGCAGCAGATTGGATTTCAAGTTTACAGGTCATGTGCTGACCAAATTCTCACCCTACATAATCACTGCAGAGATCATCAAAAGCCAAAAATCACTCATTATCAACTTCCCACATTCTGAGAAAGCATTGGTGAATACTTTGGGATCCCAAACAGATTTACAATATGCCAATAAAAGTAATTACCATCATCAAGCCTTTATATAAAACACTGACTACAATATTCAAATAACTGCAGGACTAAATGAATGCCTTAACCATGGCCTTAAATGTCAAAGCAGAACAYATTCTCTGTGTGGCATCAGCTGTAACTTCTTAAGAGTAAGCATATATKGAAAATAAACTTAATTTAGCAAAATGGCTTTCAAAGTTCAGTACTTTCTCTTGGCTTTTTTTTTTCTTCTTTTTTTTCTGTCCAAGACACAGCTTACCCATCACACAGCAAAAGATTGGTGATTCAAAAAAGATAGTGTTAATAGCAATGAAAAACTGATTTCACAGAAAAAAATGCTGCTTTTGCTTCTAGCAGAAAGCCAAGGAATACAAGGTTAAATACATGGATAGAAAAATGGGTTATCTATTTTGACAGAACTCAACAGAAATCAGTGGCTTCTCCTGGCTGCCAGTGAAGCCACCTCAGTGAAAGATGATGTTTCTGTTTTCCTGTGCACAGCAAGGGTCAAATGGCTTCAAAATTCATTATAYATTATTAATAAAGTGCATAATAATGATTCAGGGGAGGATTGTGGAATTCTTTCTGCGCTAAATTTCATAGACTATAATCTCCTCATAAATGTTCTTGGCACCATAAAGTCAGATTTTTCACCAGGAAAGTCCTATTGCCCAAAARTTCTACACAGGGAATTAAAATCTGMAAGGATTAAYAGCTTCCTAATAGTACACAATGACACAAATCTATCACTCTGCCATTTCTTTGGATTCTTGCTGTACCAAATATGAAATTATACACATTGAGAAAACAGCAGCAGGCAGATTTTTTTTCCCCTGAATTGCATTTTCAATTGTAGCAGCCTGACAAATAAAGACCAACAAATCAAAAGTAACGATCCCAAATGGGACTGCAAATATTTAATTGGCTTTTAAGGTAACTTAGGTTGAAAAAACAATAGGAGTAACCCTTCCTCTGGTCTAGCCAGGTCCTCTSTGTGTTTTTTCTCATCTGGAAACTGCCAAGACACTCAGGTGACACCAACACCACAAAGAGGAACTCCCAAGTCACCCCAGTATTCTACTAATGAAGCCCTGATTASAATTTGAACTTGGAAATATGGCAGAGAATTCCTCCTGCAACAACAATTATCAACTTGGAACCAGGAATAATAATTTACACAGGTGCAGCTGACAAAATTGATGCTGTGTCCTACTTTCTGCTGCAGGAAAGTTATGAAAACATCAAGAATAGRAGATGCATAATGTGATTTCTGTTCTTGGCTTCTTTATAACCTGTTCTTTATTTGCCTGTTTTAGCTTTCAAGGAAGACACATCTGAATGCAAACAGAAAAATAAAAACAATTCCCATTGAATGTTTTAATGTGCCAACCATTTAATTTAACTTCTCCAAGAAATAAACTCGCTGCACTCTTGAATTCCTCCCAGTAAGACTGTCCTGTGAGAATAGTTTAAATTAAAGCAAGGTTGTGTTCAAACAAGTTCTTAAACTGATCCTTCCAAAACTCCTCAGTATCAACTAAATTTCACTTTTTTGTATCATTCCTTCAACTCTTCACTGAAACCCCTTCCAGTATACAAACAGGATCTTTAAACTCAAGGCACCAAACTAACTGGAGAGTTTTATTATTGGTCTCCCTGGAGTTGTTTTTGGAGGAAAAGACACCTCCCACAGCTACTTAATATTCCCTTTGGAAATAAATACAAGGATCACATTTTTGCTATTTGCTACCACATCCCACTGCTAGATCTTCTTTCCCTTATTCTCCACATATTACAAGTACTTTTTTGAGTAACTTTTTTGCATAGAAACTTTAATAAATACCAAATAAGCATTATTCCTCCCAGTTTTATATGCTGATTTTCTTACACAGAGCAATCACCTCCCTGCCCATCCGCAGAATCTCCACATATAAAATCTCTTAGCTGCCAAAAAAAAAAAAAATAAAAATTCAGTACCAAAATGGTCAGATACATCAGAAACCCCTTTGGAAATAAATACAAGGATCACATTTTTGCTATTAGCTACCACATCCCACTGCTAGATCTTCTTTCCCTTATTCTCCTCATATTACAAGTACTTTTTTGAGTAACTTTTTTTGCATAGAAACTTTAATAAATGCCAATTTCTCCCAGTTTTATATGGTGATTTTTCTACACAGAGCAATCACCTCCCCGCCCATCCGCGGAATCTCCATATATAAAATCCCTTAGCTACAAAAAAAAATAAAAACTCAGTACCAAAATGGTCAGATACATCAGAAACTGATATTAAATGCTGGAGTGCTGACCAACACTTACTTTGCCAGGTTTGTTTGCATCAAAGCTGTTTTCTTTGAATTTCTCCTGCAGGGTCTCAGCCAAGCGGCAAAGCAAAGCGCCGTTATCCAATTTCTCCATGAAGGTTTCTGCTGTTATTTCTCTACCTGAACAGCAAACAGAAAGTTAACGTGGCAGAAAGCATGCATGAATTTGTGTGAAAAGGAGAATCAAAAGAAATCTGGACAATATTTCCAAATAAGGTTTAACTGAAAAAGCTGCATTACTTTGAGTATTTTGTGAATAACCTTACTTTACTGGTGATATACAGCAAATTATAAAAAAAAAACCCCAAACCAACCAACACTTTCCTTGGGAAAACACGTGATTTTTGAAAAATAGTTCTAGCATATCCAACTCCACACATTTCACTTCACTTCTGAAGATCCAGGGYTTTTAACACAATGTTTTAAAAGACAGAGTACAGCAGGAGAATGGTTTACACCAGTGTGAATGTGTAGGTACAGCATGAGTTAATAACAGTTTATTTTATAACAGAAGTAGGAAAGGGCTGTATATTTTAGAAGATTCTTAAATCTTGATGAAGCAGACAGGTCAGTGACTGAGGTGCTCCTATGAAAGTCCATTTTCAAAAGTAAAGTGAGGCAAATAAAAAAACAGAGGGAGCGAAATGTCATTTTATGTATCTATTTGCCACACAGATTAAAATTTTCACTAAAAGAACAAAGTCACAACGCTCTGTCTCCAAAATACATCAGTTATTACATCACATCACAGCTGCCAGGAGCTGTCCTCTCCTCTACAGAAGGCCAACCTGACAAGAAAATGTGATTACATCCCCCTGGAAAAGGGGATCAGATGCTCCAAGATGTGACTGCATGCTGACCAGACCAAATAAAAGAAAACCATTGACCATCCTAGACTAAACYTCCAGGATCTTGACATAATTTMCAGTAAAAATATTCCAATTTCTTAYTGAAGGTTTTTCATTTTCATRTTTYTACTGWAAAATTTGCCTTTGCTTTGCACACTATGTTGACAAGMAGCTGTATTTTTCAGTCCTTTTAACTTCCACTCATAATCAGGAGAGCATCAAGGATTTATTCTTGTTCTTCCAATTAAGATAGGATTTTTTTCCCCCAGTATTCACATATGGCATTTAGGAACARAAACAACACTATTAACTCATTTTTCATASGTTGTTACACAGCAATAATCATTGMCACAACAATCATTAGCAATAAAAGTCTAATGTGCCAAAAAAATTGAAAAACTGAAGTGAGAGTGGTTCTTCACTCCTGCTCCCATCAGGTGTTTGGAAACTGAAAACATTAATCTGTTTAGAAAGGTTAACAGCAATTTTTTGTCAAAAAAATTACAGGGAAAATAGAAAAGTGAAATAAAGCTTTCCTGTATCTTTTTGCTAAGAAGACAGGGGAAAACTAACATACAAAAGTAACAAAAATGAAGTATATAAATCAGGACTGAACTTCCTGCTGACACATTGTAACCTGACACTCCAAATTGCAATACTGAAGACTGCAGCATTATAAAGCAGTATGGTTTTGAAAATGCTACAGGAAAGCTGATATCTGCAGGCCCTTGATGGGAAACTTTGAGATGTTTTAGCATCTTTTGGGCAAAACCCAAAATGTGAGTCCTTTCAGTTTGATAAATTAAAATAAAACACCAAGATAAAGATTGTTGCAGCAAACATCTTCAGATACAGCAGRCTTCTATTTTTCCTTGAGGCTAAACTTGTTTTTTCTAACACATTTTTACTTCAGAAATATCTGTTTAACATGAAGATTTCCCCCTTTTCATTCCTTTTTGATTCCATTTGCCATTTAGCCCYTTTTACAGCTCCAGGCAAAGCAGCAGTAGCAGCACTGCAGACCTGCACTTAGTTTATACCCAACTGATAATATTTTTGCCACGTCTCCAGCTCAGATGAAACCAGGACTGGAACTATAACAGCTCAGAGATTTTAAAAAAAAACTGAACTCAGCATCTCAGAAGCCTTTGCCACCTTTCTAGCCTGCATGATCTCCCATCTGCCCCATCAGCATTTATATAAAATGGTATMAAGCCACTAAAAAGCTAAATTGAAAAATAACTGTGTTACAGGAACTGTTTGAGTATCACATTTTATAACACATTCCACTTCTAAAAAATTTATTTCCAGTACCTTTAACAGACTAAAAGTTTTTAATTTGCAATGCATAATTTTTAACACAGGTAAAACAAAAAAAGTCACATTCTACATATCCCTTCTATGTCCAGTGATTTATAAATTCATCATTTCAGAATAATAAAATGTTACCAAAACTTACTATTATTAAAACTTAAAGATATTTTCTCTTTATAATGATATGAGAAAAATCATCTTCTACTATTTAACAAGATGTTTATATTATTTKAAGAGCTGAATTGCATTAGCAGTTTGGGCACTGCACAATGTACACTAAGCTGGATTATTTGAGTTCTATTTGCCCTTATGAAATCTGAAAGAATGAGTTTTGCACTGAACATCTGTCTCCAATGAAAAGTATATTAGGTGTCAGCTTTCAATTCAGTGTATTTTATGGCTCCAAAAGGTGGCATTTCTTTGCTAAAACAGACACTCTGACTTATTTAACAGTAGAAATGCATTGATTCAAATAAGAGTAATGTTCATAAGTCCCAGAAAAAAAATCGCTCCGTGTGTTTGTATGGAAAAAACATTAAACTCTATTAAAAATGTASAACTCCCCCTATAATTACAAGAAAGCAATTGCGATGTTTTTATAGAATGGGAATAACATTAAGTAAAATAAAAAAAAATAAAAAAAAAACACTGAAAGTATGAGAAGAAAGACCAGGAATACAAAAACTTTCAGAAAGTTTTCTMAAGTTTCTCTCAAGTACTGCTTGCTCTTTCTTTTACCAAAACCACCAGATTCCCCTTCCAAAGTCCAACAGTTGCACCTGAACACCTTCCCCTAAAACTGTGAATAATTGTCAGGTCACCCACTCTCAACAACCTCAAACAACCAGACTGGAGGGCCATGAAAGAATAATAGAAAAGTGTAATAATTCTGAACTACAATTTTTCATTGTAATAATTTTGTAAAGCCTTGAGATGCTGTTGCTTACTTGGAATGGGACATGCAAGCAAATGCAAAGGCATGTTGGTAATAAAGAAAATGATAAAGCCACTCAGATAAGTAAGAAACTATATCAGTGCTGGCAGAATGGCTGGAGGTATCAGCACTGTGAACAAATTGATACTCAGATAATTAAATTGCATTTTCCACTGGCTTGGTGTGCACAAGCTGCTGCTGGAAATGCGTGTTCTGGTACAGAACACAGGCAGCAAGGTGAGTGACCACACCGAGCTGACACACATTTACACCAAAACAAAGATGCCTTTTTTGGAGAAGACTTCCCATTCTCCAACCTCAAACTTTACATCCTTTTCAATACCCAGCCTGGTCTTTATCTCAATGCATCTCCGAACATCCTCATTTCTCTGTTCCTTTTCTCCAAGCCTCCTTCACTTTTGTGCCTGAGCAACTTTTACATGCATTAAACAATATTCAACATTTACATGTCCAATTCCTCAGCWCCTTGCATTCCCCAGCTATGAGCTTCTAAAATCCTCTTCCTGCTAAGAAGAGGMTTCAGCACTGAAAGTTTGGAGCCCAAGGTGTAGTTGGTCCCACGTGCTGAATGAAGTTGCATGGAATATAAGTCAATATAACCCTCTTGGGCTTGTAAATCAACTCTGGGAATGGGGRAAATTATTTTTCCAAAGATAAAACAGAGAAAACATCTCTCTGCACCCATCCTAAACTACAGGCTAGTGAGGAGGGCCACTCCTCATGTCACACATTTCGCTCCTGCAGGCACACATGAGAAAATGAGACAACACCAAAGAGCAAAGCAGGCAAGCAAATCTTTCAGATTGTCATCTTGCCCCTGCTGGAAGAGTCCTGTGAACTGGCCCAAGTGTGCCAATTCCCATGTGCAGCTTTCTCAAGGTGGAGCTTTTCAGTACCCACAAGAAATGTTCCACCAAATCTGGAGTTTGGCAGCAGTGAAAGCATTCCCACCTTGTACAAGAAAAGGCTGAGAGATGAACACAAAGATGAACACAAAGATGATGAACACAAAGATGATGAACACAAAGATGATGAACACAAAGATGATGAACACAAAGCAAGACAGGTTAACTTTTGTCCTTGGCTTTGTCACTGCCACTCTGACAGAGCCACCAAAGCTCAGCAGACAGAAGGAAATGTAGGAAACAAAACATCCACAGGCAAAACCTTCCTCTCCAGCAGACAAACCCCAGCACTGCCATGTCCCATTCTGACACCACCCTAAAGTCCAGCATGGGATGACTTAATCCTATCTGACACATGGATTTCRTCTGCAATGTCCTTTTTCCATCCCCCAGAGTACAGACAGCTAAAATCTATTCAGCCATGGAGCTGTAATGACAAACTGTCCTGTCAGAAGCTCTGAGCTTCTCTGATATGGCTCCAAAAATRATTAGCAAAATTTACACAAAAGTACCAGCGATTGCTAAAAAATACCCCCAGACAGTGTCCATCCTAAATTAAATACTCAAAGTCTTAGGATTAAAAATTCTTTCCAAGTTATTTTCTAGCTGCACCATGTATCTCAGTTTTCTTATTTACCGATTGGGTAAGGTCAAATTTTAATTTCTATCTGATATCAAAATCTTTCATTCATATTATAAAGTTCAATAATCCCATAATGTTTCCCAGTTTTTTATTCTGAACCCACATCAGGCTATGCTGCTGCAAAACCATCACCCTTTCAACTTCCAGTAACACTGTATAGGATATAATTGTCTCTCCACAAAAATTTCCTAAAACACCATTACTTGACCAAACTACCTCAAAGAGGTTCAACCCTGCTCTTGCCTAAAATACTATTACTTTTTTTTTTAATCTAGATTACTTCAAAAAGATGACGTGTCCTTGTTGAATATTAGCACAAATGAACACCAAAATATAGATGAAACAAAACATGGACCAAAATGGCAAAAGTTAAATGAAATGCCATGTTAATTTTCTTTCTAAATTGAGAAATCTTATTTTCTGAAAACTGCCACTGGACACTTACAATGAAGCTCCACAAGGTACAGAACAGAGCAAGGCAGGATGTGGATCACAATATTACCTGCTCCATGTTACATGCACATCCATGCATGTAAAAATCTACTGACCATTGGTGCAAAATWCATTATTTCTTCCATGTAGAGGGAAAAAAAATCCCCAAAAAACCCAAAAAAAGTCTTCCATATTCTTCTATCCTTTTGGATGCTGAAAAATGCCTGCTGTATATTCATTTCTATCTTATGCATGCTCACACATCCCTTCTCTATTTGAAGTTTATCCAAATTATGCAGTAATTAAACAGAATTTGAATTCTGAGTTAATATACTCCTATGAATAACAATTATTTTAACTCACACTTAATTTGTTTTGAATGTGAATTTTAACTTAATTGAATTATTAATTTGAATAACAATGTCCACATAGGAACCCAAGGCAGTCTGACAAATCACTATAATTTCAATTCATCAGCACAAACTCTGAGAAAAGGAGAGCTTGGTGCAAGAAGGTGTGGGGGGGRACACATTAAGCAAATGAACTGTATATGCAGCTTAATTAAAAGAAGGTTGTGCCCATTTAGCTCTGCAGTGCAGAATTTGGTGTCCATATGAAAAATCAGATATTTAATTACAGTTGGCATTTCGGAACCTCCTGCTGGTTSCTACTTTTCTTGCTCAAAAAGTGACCTCATTCCTAAACTTATCACGGGGAGAACTCTGTTACAGACTGCAAACAAGCTTCTGTTTGTTTTAGAGTGGATCACTAAAACTTCATTGTTTAAAACATTTAAACAATATCTTGAATCCTTAATGGAATGCGTTGCTTCCAACTCAAAAAACAGTCACTTGGATTATTCTCGGGTGGTAACTAGAATGAAAAGTTCTCAAATTTTCTTCTGGTTTTGCATAGACAATTTCATATCCAAAACTCATTAATTTAGATAGAAATGCCATACAAACATTTAATTTAAAACACCTGCTGCTTTTGCAGTTGTGAATTCATGACTGCTCCAACTCACAAATGGGTACCTGCAAAATACTCTGTTCTTGTGTTCTATTGACATTGTGCTTATTGACCACATCTCTCTTAACATAAGTGATATTCCTATTTCTTTTTTTTTAAAAAAGAGAAAATAGAGCAATATAGAATGTGCAGATGAAAGACACTGGATACACTGTTATTGTATGATACCACTGAGATGCTTTAGCTACAGCATTTGCCATGCCAAGACACTGCTCATGTCTCACCAGAACAGACTTTCAGAAAATTTCAAAAATTTCAGAAATTTTTTTTAACAAATTAAATGAATCCTCCAAAACTGTACACACCAAATTTAGAAGTGCTCATCCAGATTTTCCTCCAAAATGACATCAACTAAAGTTCCATGTAAACGTAATTTCTGATATATTTTTTTTCCTCTTTATTTCAAAATGACATCAACTAAAGTTCCATGTAAACGTAATTTCTGATATATTTTTTTTCCTCTTTATTTAATGAAAGGAATTACTGAATGTCTCCCTTAGGATGAGGTACTGTGTAAGTCACTCATTCCTTTGGTTATTCCTTTGGACTTACAGAGATCATTCAAAAACCGCTTTTCCCAGAGTGTTCTTAAAGACAACATTCCATTTCCTGGCTCACCATTTCCAAATTCCCTCTTTGTGAATTATTTTCACATGGTAATGGTATTAGTGATATTAATGGTATTAATGGTATTAATGGCATTAATGGCGTTAACAATATTAACGGTATTAAAGGTATTAACGGTATTAATACAAAAAATGCCAAAAAATAAAAAAATGCCAAAAATAAAAAACATTAAAAGGAAGTTTGAAAGGCAATTAAACACAGAATGTGTAATGCACTCACAAAAACACCATGAATTACTCAATAGCTTTTCCGACCTTGCTAACATTTGCACTATATCAGCTACCAAACCATAGCAACCTTTACTTTTGAAACAGAAAGAAATGTGAATTCCCAGCTAAGAGAATATATATTCCACCTTACCCAGCAGGTTTGTGAGCCACAGGGCCAGGTCCTCTTTCATGGGCAGCAGGTTGGCCTCGTGYCTGCTCGCCAGCCACTGGCTGTACTGGTGCATGTCCGACAGGCCAGGCCCTCGTGCCTTGGGGCTCAGGGCAGTGCACATTGCTCAGCCACTCCTTGGAGCTCTTCAATTCTAGCAAAAGAAAAAAAAAATTAAAAAGAGATAAAGGAAATAAAGATTCACGCGTGGTTAGAATTGTAGGGGATGATCCCATGCGGAAGAGGATTCCCAGTCTGGAAGTGTTCAAAGCCAGGCTGGACAGTTCTCTGGACCAGTGGAAAGGGTGGGAATGAGGGATCTTTAGGGTCCTGTCCAACCCAAACCATTCTGTGATTCAATAATAACAACAGCAATCACGATTCCCAGAAATCAAATATCAAACAAACAGATGTGGATCTACACACAGTCTAAACAACAATAACCAAAGCTTTGTTTTGTTAATGGGTTCTTTTTGCAAGTGATTAAATCATACAGATAAATGTTAACTTCTTTTGTACTCACCAAGCTACGTGTTGCCACCACAACCAAATATTCCCCAAGGAATKATTAAAATCAAATCAAAATAAACATTTTACACAAAGCTAACAACTCACTACGGTGCCTGACCCAATACCCATTCAGATTAATTGGAGAGCTTCAGAGGTTTTTGGATCAGGCCCAGGAAAAACATGGGAACAACCAAATTATGCTCCTACAGCAAACTTATTACCAATTAATAAATGYTGTAATCAAACGGAAACAGTCTATTCTTCAGCTACAAAATAATTAGAGAAAAAAACTACACCWAATGTATTGACTGGATAGCATCATTTCTTCTCACACTCCCCAAACCCTCTTTCTGTCCTTGGCATACCTTTCCTACCAGGTAAGAGGTATTTGTGAATTTAAAAACAACAGCAGAAAAAAAAAAGGAACAACTCGTTACGCCATCCATTATGGCCTGAATAACAAGAATACTAAAAACTATCTCTTTGTCCAAAAAAGTCATGTATTTACTAAATGTAAAAATAGWAAAAAATTGCCATGCCATAAAATTGTGCTGTAACTGACTTTTCCAAATGTGTGTAACATTATTTTGGATATTTTAATATTGGCATTTAAATACTACAGCATGTTTTAACCATACTCTGCAAACTCCATGTTTGCAAGAAGATCTGCTCAAGCTCCTGCTGACAGTACCTCACCCCAAGTCCAGAAGTTCAGCTTGCCCTTGAGATAGGCACAGCTTTCACTACAAATATATGTCTTACTGAAATTAGACAATTTTTTTTCAGTTAGGAGAAGGAAAAACAGACATAAAAAAGATTTATTCTCTTGTATAAACACATATTTCTGAATTATGAGTAGATTTTACATTTTTCTAACCAAAAAAAAACCCCTTTATGTATCAAAGTTCCTTTGAAAGAAGAGGAGTTTAAGGCAGACTAAAGCACATAATTCATGCACAGCTCTGTTCTGAAAATGACTTTGTAAAAAAATTGTCAGCTTGGATTTATGGCTTCCTGGTTAATTAAATTCAAATCATACCTGTTCGTTTAGGGCAGGCTGCAAGGGARGGGAGGGAGGAGGCTTGGACTGTTAGCTCTGCAAAAATCAATCTGGAATGTCACTCTCAAAACAGACTGACTCAGACTAGAGGCTACCAACAGCTAAGGAATTTCAATGACAGGATATTTAAAGCTTCTCTAAGTCCCTCAGAACCACCCAAATCAGTCCTTCAAAACACTGCTTCATTTTGGATAGAAACAGAGGCAAGAAACATAACCGACACCACTTGTCTTTAAAGATTATATGGGGAAAAATCAAATATCTGTCAGAGATTTCCAGAAAGAGCCTTCAAATATTTTTGACCAATTACTGGAGTCTATAACTTCCAGTGATACAGTGAGAGCCAGAATTCAAATTACTCTGTCCTCTTGAATTACCTCTGCAATGATAGAGGTAAAATGCAATTTAAAAAAATAAACAAAGGGAGGGTTCATGTTCCTGAGTGTATGTATCTAAATATTTAAGGAACAAAAACCTGCAATTTGTTTCTCTCTACACACAGATTGGAAAAATACAACAGAAAAAGTTTTCCTAAAGGAACCACTTAGACACTGCACCTCTTCACCGGGAATAATTCCACAGCTCAGACATGCTCTGCAGAGGGGGTTACACTGGATRACCCTTGRAGGTCCCTTCCACCCCAAATTTCTTCTGTWATTTCACATTTCAAGGATGCACAGGGCAATGTGAACCATGAAACCCCGTGCTGGAAGGGTAACAACTCCACACAGGCTGAGCTGGGCTGTGTCAAGGAGAAAACACCAGAAAACCCTTCTCTTTCACCCARCTTCATCCCTTCCAAGACCCTGTACATGAAGTGCCACATGAGAACTGGGGTCTAATTAATCACCAGCATCAGGATCTGCCAGCAACTCCGCTGTGTAAAGACACTGAGGGAAGAAAAGCAGGAGAATAATGATTTTTGAGAATGCAAAGCTGCTTCAGTTTATTAGTAACTTTGGATTTATGAAGAAAAAAGAGAGGCAAGAAGAGTATTCTGAGTTTAAGGTAGTTTTCATAAGATTCATTCTCAGAATATGAAACTGGAAAGGTGAAAAAAAACAAGACAAGTAACAAAATTCTCTGGAAGGTGAAGATGTTCCAGGTATCTCCATACTGGGACTAGGTCTGCTTGAAATGGTAGCCCTGAATTCAAATAATGTATGCACTAACTTGGGAAGTGGGCATGCAAAGTGAGGACTGGAGAATGAGAAATTTAATACTGATGAACAGCCTGAAGAACTGCAGATAAACCACACACAATCCAACCTTACCTCTACACAAGTTTCCTTTGATTTCATTTCCAAAAAAAACCCAAATCCTTCACTTCCTCACTATTTTTCTGAAAACCTGCCCTACACTTCAGTAAAATACTTCCCTGTTGGCATCAAAGCCACAAAATTCTTACCTTGGATTTTTAAAATTAATTTTTTTTWAAMCTTAAAACTCAGCTTTCAAKGAGCAGASTATCTCCTGTCACAAATTCTACAGGAGATACTGGATGTCAGCTACGAAATTGCAAGAATCAGAATTATTGAACTTTCAAGCTCTGAATTATTCTTCTTGCAAACACGGATCACTACTGAACTTTTGAAGTTCAATTTAAGCCTTCACAATACTGAGGTACTAAAGTACCCCAGTTTTTGCAAAATGTTCATCAACTTTACCAGCACACACACATTAAAACTTCATCACATACAAGCTGGGACCTAGGAAGAAGCCAAAATGAGACCAAATGAAGCCAAAATGAGCCAAAATGAGTTATGTGAAAGTGGCAGAACAACGAGTCCTGAGATCCTGCAAAATCCCTTGGAAGATTCTACCTGTGGGGAAGGCCAGGCCCTTGTTTCACCACCCAGACACCTTCAAATCTCTTCCTTCAAATGCCTTCATGTATTCATGTTTTAGTGAACTGGAGAGAAATTTGTTGACAATTTATCAGTGAGGAATTGGGTCAGAGGAATGGACTAACTTGGTGGACAGCAGCTTTCAAGGATACATCACCACAGCTGAGGCAATCCTCTGGCTCCAACAACTATTTCATCCTTTCCTTTTGGCAGRCCAAGTATGAACGAAGTAGCCAAAAAAATATTGGGTTTCCTAATCTCACTACTTTCTAACAGCAACACCAAATCATCATACACACAGCTGCTCAAAACCAGCCAACACAAACACGTCAAAGATTTTACAGAATGTCACACTTCTCTGTAAACTGTTGAGGCTGACGTGCTATGCAGAAGCATTTTCAAAACTTACCTCAAAATGCTTTAAAGCAACTGCTTCCCCCCACTATTCGGAATGTAGGTGAGGAACAGCCTTCCACTGCTTTTCATCCTGTTTTGTTACAGGTCATATTTATGCAGCACAACCTTCTTTCCGACCTCTCTCAAGAAGAGGATGACATCTCAAATTCTTAGGCTCATTGTCCAGATGAAGAATTCAGCGTGGGATGGTTTACAGTACACCCAGCGATGTGGATCAGATTTGACAGACTAAAAGGTCCTGTTTCTCTCTGCTTGCTCCTACTGAACAGTGAAGTTCTTATTTTGCTTTACAGTGGTRCATTTAGTTATCTGTGAATTGCAGCTCGCTGCTTGTGTTTTGCCAGCAGTGTAACCTCACACTATCTGATGAYTGCTATCAGTGATCATCAGGTGAAAGGCACTGAGAATCAAACAAACGATCTTCTGTATTTCCACTGCCTTTTGTTGGGGTTAACCGGGAGAAAGAAAGAATTGAGAATGATACAGTGTACTCAAAACACACAGGAGGCAAAGACTGCTTAACCCAGAAAGTAAAACTGGATGCACAATGAAGCACTCACAGTTGCAGATCCCTGGATTCAATTCCCTTTCCTATCCCAGTCACCCTCCTCACCTGTAAAATTGTGATGATTTTCTTCAACTAAGTATAAAAAGGGAGGGAAAAAAATACTGCACATAGGAAAAATGTATATATTGAAAGCTTGCCTGTATGCATAGATACACATGCAAAGAAAATGCACGTGTTCCACCCTGCTAGCTATTCATATAAACCAATAAATTTTTACTCCAAATTACCCAYCCAGTTCCAGCAAATGCACATAACAGCTTATCCTCAGTAGCTACGCAGTGCTCTCTCTATCATGAGTTTCATTGCTGCTGCMACCTGGTTCCCAATAACAACAAGTGCATTAATTCTCAAACAAAAGAAGGATTGAACCACTTCTTTCCACTTGCTCCTACATACAATCCTTCCAAGCCAGGAATGAACAAGTCTTGCTGAGTCACTTGCTCTTTATGACTTGGCTTAAGAATCAGCATACAAGTCAAGCATCCTGTGAAACAAGCATTGTATCCATTTAGAAAAGAATAAAAATAACAAGTGTCTGCGGAGGGAAAAACACATCATAAAGCAAATGCAGAATTCCCTACAAGGATCAACCAAACCACCTGTGCTGCAAAGGTCCTACATGATGCACTTTTTGCATCATAACAGCTTCACAAGGACACTGTGCCTGAACCCGGTGTTCAAAAACCTTTTATCATAAAATCTTCATAGAATTAAATCCGCAGGCTTTGAGGTT